GAATCTGTGGAGACTCAGGCAAACAGGCATTTGTTGTTCCAGAGACTGAATGATTATTTCCATTGTATGGGCAAAGGAGGCTTGTTTAAATTAACCAATAGAAGAATTCTTGGAACTGACCAACATGTGAACAATTTTGTGACTTTAGCTGGCCTAATATGGATGATATATTTTGTCATAATTTATTTTTGGCCTATATATCTCTTCTATCTCTCTTTTGAATCAGTTCAAAAAATTGAAATTAGCCATTTAGGATCTATACTGGAATATCTGCTTTAGTGAATGTCTGAAAAATCCTAACACTGTTACCTTTATCCCTGATAACAAATTAATAAAAGTAAATAACAAAAACTACTTCTTTGCATCCCTTCTCCATTAGACGCAACCTGTCCAGAACCCCCTACAGTTGAAAATGCTGAAATTGAAGAAGATACAATGAAGAAGTATGTAAATGGCGAGAAAATAAATTATCAGTGTAATGATGGTTTTGAAATAGTTGGATCAGCTGCTGTAACATGTATAAAAAAGAAGTGGTCACGCTTGCCAAGATGTGAAGGTAGGAATGTGTGATCTCTAGGATATGCTCGACATGTTTTTGCTGAAAGCCAAAATTCACATAAAGAGTACATATTTTTTTAATTCAGAAATGAAATATTATTAATCTGAACCATTCACCCTAAGAGGAGCTGGTCCTGTGTCATTGTTCTTAGTTTTCCTGTTTGACAAATAGATAAGCCTGTGGGCATTTTGATACACTCATCATTTTTCTACCCACCCCCAGTTGCCCAACTTCCATCCCACAGATTTCCTCATCTGCTCCCCAAGAAGGTCAATGTTCCTCCCAGCTGGCCATTAAGAAGGAGCAAAATATAGCCTTTAAATAGTCAGGGGGAAAAAATTAAGTTTCCACTTTGCAGAGGATTTGCAAGACTACTCTTCAGATTAATTAGAAAGGATAGAGAAATAATAGTAGCTGGTATCTTGAGCTCTAGAAGATGGAGACACTGAAAGCTGGGAGATGGGGTGAAGTTGAAGTTCCTCCAATGGGAAATGTCTGTTCAAGAGGAAATGCAGCTCAACACTCTTGGTAGTGTTCCTTCTGCTTCAGCATTTCCTAATCGGGGTCAGCCTGACGTCCAGTCTATGTGAAGTCATGGAGACCCAGCATGAAGGAGAGATTTTAGATTAGTCTAAAATTAGGAAGTAGCACCTGTGGCTGCCTTGCCTGCCTTGGATGATAAAGCTTGTTTATTTTTCCACCACTTATACCCCATTACAATCTAGAGATTCTTAGCTGCTTATATAAAGTATAAAAACCAAATACAATACTCTCAATATAATCAAGTGCAAAAACAGTAAAGCAATAAAATGGGCTTAACAACCTACAGTATATATCAGTCTGTTCTCTCTCATCCAGATCTGATGGTTTCCAAGCACCAGCAAAGACCATCTCCCACACAGCCTAGATGATCACAGTTGCCTCTATTACTTTGATATCCAGTTTTGTGAGAGACTGATTGGAAAGGGAAAGGCCAGAATAGTTCATCATGCAGAGTTTATTAGACAACTTCTTCTCTGCATGTAGTTCATAGAAGGATTTATCTGATTAAATTTCTTGCAGGATAATCCAGTTTTCAATACAACCTTTCAGAATTGCTCTAATACACAGTTACCAATTATGTACCAACAATGTATTCTTCTTTAGCTTTTACAAACAAAATTAGTGAAGAGATTTTATACAGGTTCCCTCAATCGTCAGGTTGACACTCATCCTACAAAAGAAATTTCAGGGAAAATTATTTACACAAACACACCACCACCATTAATGTAAGGCTGATCAGATACAGTATCATGATAGTAATAATTGAAAGCACACAGTGTGATTTCTTCAAGAAGGATAGAAACAAGCACTGTAAGAGGAAGAGGACGTTCCATTGTCTGTAGCCTCATATTCCCTTCACCTCAAAAGGAAGCAGCCTCAAGCCTGTATGGCCACCCTTGTATTTTCTGTGTCATATGATGTGCATGATCAGTTTTGGTTTCAAAAGTGGAAGCATGTTTAGAGACGCTGGCTTTGAGAAAACCGATGCATTTTATCTAAACGGGACCATTTTTTAATTACCATTTTAGATGTAAGATGCTCTTCTCCCCCTCAAATTCAAAATGGTCAAATTGTTAGTACAATAAAGGAAACATATTTGCCTCAGGAGAAGGTGCAGTATCGATGCAACCCACGTTATGCTCTTCTTGGGACTCCTTTCGTTAAATGTTTGAAGAAACGTTGGTCAGCAGCACCACGTTGTTCAGGTATTTATGTACAGATCTTCACTATGTCAAAATAAAGATAGAATTGGAAATTAATTTGCTTTAACTTCACTGTCTCTTTCAGATTATTTTGAAAAGATTCTGTCAAGTTTTTTCAGTATTTTATTGCTAGAATTATACAATTTAATGTCCCAGTTGAACTGCGAAAGGAGAATATATTTTCATTAACATTACCCCTCTTTTGAATTTTTGAATTTCTACTTTTATAAATCTATTCAGTTCATTTTATAGGTAGAAGTTTTTTCCTCAATTGGAAGACTATGTGTCCCTTGGAGCACAAACATTGATCTCTATTTCATAATTAGCCTCTCCTCAGTCC